GAGAGAGAGAGAGAGAGAGAGAGAGAGAGAGAGAGAGAGAGAGAGAGAGAGAGAGAGAGAGAGAGAGAGAGCGCGCGCGCGCGGGACAGTGGATGTGTCCCACTGCTCGAGCGACGGTATGCGGCGGTTATCTTGGCGATTGACGAACCAGGGAGAGAGGAAAAAGATCGATCAAAGCCTTGAAATGCAGGGGCTAAGTGGCTTTGGTGGTCCACTGGCTGTGGGCGGCCGTTGTGGCCCCTGGCGCTGCCGTTTGGAATCGAGCTTGAGGGGTGGGCAGGAAGGTGAGAGAGGGGAGCGCGAGGGGTTGATAATGGCAGAGCGTTGCTTTGAATCAAGATGATGACGAGGGATGTTGATTTCGGATGTGTTTGATGAGCGTTATGATGGAAGGTGAAAGCAGAGATTAGGGTTGAACCGAGTTGAAAACCAGAGAAAGCTGGCTCCACCCGGTGTTTGGTCAGAGAGCTGGTTGCTGTTGATCATCACAAAAGGCCGCTTTCTTAACGGTTACCAACTGACAGAGTTCCTCCCACCCTCTCCAAATTCAACTCGGTTTAACATTAGAGGGCGGCTGGGAGTCTGGTCCTTTGAAGGGGGGTTTGGTTTGGTGCCATATGGCAGCGCAGGGGCAGCGACCAGAGTAGAAGAACCACGATTCGTGCGGTAGGGTGGGTGCAGGGGGAGGCTACAGCCAGACACCGATGGACAGACCGACAGATGATGCATGCAAGGAGCCACGGGCAGCGAACCAAAGTGCGACCGTTCCTATATGGTGTGTATGTCCAAAGCGCCAGCACGCGTGTGACAAGACAAGGGACGAAGCCTTCGATGGCCCCCGAGTCGATCCCATGTGTGGCAGGGAGCCAAGGTGCGGCGGCGGGGAGACGTTAGGGACACTGGATGTACTCGACCAAGGCTGCCGGGTACTGATTCGACACTGGTGACTACCGACGGGACAGGGAGGGAGGGAGGCAGCGGTGATTCGTCGCTGCCGATCGAGCCGATGCGTGGGTGTGTGTGGTTGTGGCCGCGCTCGCGTTGGGTGCACAAACCCCCGTTTACTACCTTGTAATGCTAGAAGATGTAGCTGTTCGACTTGTTACAAGGTGATTGTTATACTGTCTTATGTATGGTTATTGTAGCAGAATAACGAGTTATTGTCGGTACGCATTTGGTTTTTATTGTTGCACCATACGCGTTTGGTGCGGGGCCTTGATTGAGATTCACGTGTGACATGTATACAACATGTGTGTGACGCTTTAAAGCATGTTTGCCTTTAGATTGTGTTGGTGTGTGTGGTGCTTGTGTGCCTTGTGTGTGAGCGTTTGGTGAACAGAGACTGATGTTGAACTGTGACCGTTCCAGAGATACGACCTCAACCTCTGTTTTCACAAAGCTTGTCATACAAGGTAAAACCAGAGGTTATGTTTGGCCTGTGTTCAGAATCAGAGAGGTTCATCTTGTGAAAAACGAGCACGTTTCAGAGCCCAAACAAAATCACGCGCAAGGCCGGTTGACAGATGGCAGCCAGTGCACCAGGTCGTCAACCTGCTCACCGCCAATAACAGACCAGAGGCCAACCCCATTGCGCAGACGACGCAAGCTTTACCACATGCCCGGACCCGCTGCCAAACAAAACACAGCAGAGCCCCTCAAAAAGATCCAGAACATCACCCCTAAACTCTCATGTGTGCTCTCCCTTTTCTGATCTCTCTCTCTCTCTCTCTCTCTCTCTCTCTCTCTGTCACTCTCATCTCTCTCTCTCTCTGTCACTCTCATCTCTTCATCTCTCTGTCTCTCTAAATCTCTTTCTCCCAATCCCTCTCTCCCTACACCACACACACACACACACCACATACAGGCACTTTCTCGACGAGAGAGACCCACACACACACACACACACACACACACTTATCGTGACTGAGTGAGGGAGTGCGTGCGCGTGAGGGGCATTGGAGCAGGTGTGATTGGACTGGGGTGGCAAGCAACGGAGCGTCGTCATGGCTCAGGAACCGGCACTGCCGGGGGTGGTGGCGCCGCCTCACCCCGCCATGCTCAAGACGCGGCAGCAACGGCAGCAGGAGGATCGGCATCGTCGCGCGCGCGCGTGTGATGTGATTATGATCGTGGCCATTTTGGTGGCCTTTATCATTGCCGTCGTCATTGCCGTCGTCGCCATTCACGACGTTTTTGATAGTCCCCACAGCAGCGACGATCGGGCCATTGCCATTGGGGCCTTGGTCGCCACTCTCCTGGCTGCCTTTGGCATTCTGGGTGCCCACAGCTCCGACTTCCGACTTCGTTCCATCAACCGCCACCTCGCCGAAGCCCACGACGAACTCCGCGTGCAGCACATTGTGCTCAAGGACACCAACATCATGCTCGAGCGCACCCTCAACGATCAGGCCAAGGTCCAGGGTCAACTCCGCGTTACCCTCGATCAGCTCAGCCAAAACTACCTGCAGCTGCGTCACAGCGAATCCCGCCTCAACCAAAGCCAACATTTGCTCCACGCCAACCAGGATCAGCTCAGCCACATTCAGCTCATCGTGCGCCAAAACCAGGAACAGCTCAAGTACACCCGCTTCCTCCTCCGCTATGAAGCCGCCTGCTACCTTCGCGTCAAGGTCCTCGTCGACTGGCTCCATCGCAAGTTCTCCGCCATTGGCAACGAAGACGAACACCTTGCCACCTGGACCGCCCTTCTCCAAGTCTTGCCCCCCTCCCTCGACGACGAACGCGAATACGACGTCCCCATCGCCGACGTCTGCGGCGCCGACAACTGGGCCGACTTTGTCTCCTGCGCCTGCCGCTTCCGGGCCCTCAACCGCTCCACCCCCGCCGACCGCGCCGCCGCTCAGGCCGCCCACGCCGCCAACCCCCTCGAAGCTGACACTGACGATGGCGACTCAGCCCTCCTGGGCGCCAAAGCCGGCGTGGGCGATTTCACCTTCAAGGGTCTCGAAAAGACCCGCCCCTACAAGCTCTTCCTCGCTCGCATCCTCGGCGCATACGACCCCGATGACTTTACGCGCTGCCTCAAGCTCGGCGAGGAAGTCCCCTTTGGTCATCTCGCCCAGCACCTCAGCCGCCACTTGCCCCGCCGCATCTTTGACAAGGAAGACGACGAACGCTTCCAGGACTTTGAAAGCCGCTACGTTCTCGACGGCCCCCGTGATCCCAACCAAGCCCCCACCCTCCGCGAACTCTCCTTTCAACTCAATGCCCAGGAGCAAGACAACCGCATCCCTCAGCCCCTTCTTGAACGCCCCCCACTCCTCGTCTACTCGGAGGAAGCCGTCCAAGTCGACCCCCTCCGTGCACCTCGCGCCTCGGAACCCGTCATTGGCTATGGCCAGAGCCGCCGTGGTCGCCCCTCACAGCAGTTTAATATCCCCCGCAATGACTCGGACATTTCCAGCATTCATCTTCGTGACCAGTCCCCGGCTCGTGATTACTCTCCCCGTCGTGACTCCCTTGCGCTCCCCCGCAATGAGTCGGGCAGCTCCAGCACCTACTATCGTGACCCATCCCCGCGCCGCGATTCATACAGCTATGCCAACACCCATGACACCGCCGCTCGCCGTCCCTCCGATCTCCTGCGCCAAAATTATCCCGGTCCCCCCCGCCGTCCCTCCGAACTCTCTGTCCAAGGCCCACCCCCTATGCTCTCCCGACGCAGCTCGGACCTGGCCATCATGCGACAAAACAACCCCACCATGCCTCGCCGCGGTTCAGATGTGCCTGCTCAAAATGGTGCCTACGACCAACGTCGCTCCGGCCGTCGCCAACACAAGCGACAGGACGTGCCTCCAAAGGACTGGTCCGGTACCAACAGCGCCCCCACTGAACGCGTCATTCCCGTCGTCCATGAAACGGAAGACACCGGCGTCGCCACCGCTGCTCTCTAAGCGGGACTTTGCGTCGACCAGGACCAGGCCCAGTCTTCTCGACACAATGTGCGGAAAGTGTCGTCACACTCTGCCGTGTCACAACCCTATTTTGGTTCTTCTTTGTTTTCATGACCATCGCCAGTTTCTGTTCCTTCCTCTGGCACAGCTTGTGATGCTGAGTCACCACTCGCACCCTCATCTTTGGCGTAACCTATTCCATGTTATCAAGCTACCAATTGAGTTTTGGAATGGCACGGCTTTGAATGCTTTGACTCGTCACCTGCTGCACTCAATTCAAGGATTTACAAAAAAAAAAAAAGTCCTGGTCCACGTTCATGTCGAGCTGATTTACACATGCACACACAGCAGACAAGAGCGTTTGGGACACAAGGGGTGCGCTTCATGCAACCACAGCCAGAGCAAAACAATCAACGCATCACCACAGCGCCAACGGCGCCAGGCGACATGTGAGTATCTACCAAAAGCATTCATCAAAAAATATTCCCTATACATGCCACAAATGGCCATGCCACAACACACAACACACAGAAACCCTGGTCGACGGAACCAAGCAGGAATTTGGTAACCTAGTTGGTCCTGCGGCCCACGGGTCTAGCCCTCAAGCAATCTGCTATGCCAACGTCACGACAAGCACGCGAGAAAAAAGGGTGACGATTCAAGCAAGAAAACTCATCAGCTCGAACCCGCGGCCACACCAGGCTCGTTCGAAGGCTACACAAGGCATGCAGGTGGCACATCAGCAGGGGCCGTACGAATGCAATGCACGCACGCGCACAAAAACGGTGCGGGTTTGCAAGCAACGTACCGAAGAAGCAATAATTTGTTGACGATGATGCTCAAATTCTTGCTTTTGAGCCTGAAGCTTGAGGGCCACCTGACTGCGGAATTCCCGAAGCTCGGCGCTGTGGCGCTGCTGGAGCTCTTTGAGCCGTGCTTGTTCGTTGGCTGCAGGCGGATCCCGATGGGGCAGAAATGAGCAAGTGCCGTTTGAAAAAAACCGGTCAGATGCGCAAGGCACCAACCTAGCAGCATTTGCTTCTTATAGTGGTGTTGCTGGCGTAACTCCTCGAGTTCTCGCTCCATGGCGCGCTCCATGGCATCACGCGCATCTCGAAACGCCTCGTCCATCTGACTATACGCAGTCCGATAGTTCTTTTCCTCCACCGTGTCAAATTGCTGTGAACACATATTCGCAAACCAGCGAGATGGCCACCACCGGCGGCGCATGAGATGGTTGCTCAGAACCCGCAGACAAGCTGCACAAGTCCCGCTCGGGTAAAATGTCAATACAAGGTGGACAGAGTTGCAAGTCGACTACACACCGCCATCTTTTCCATGGCGTCGGCATCAAAACCATCGCGCGTTAGGCGACGCTTAAGCTCCTTGCGGCGCTGAGCAAGATCCGTTTTGTGCTTCTTGGGCAAGAGCTTGAGGTCTTGGTGGAACTTGCGATCCAAGTCCTTGAGCTTCTTGACGTGGTATTCGGCCAACTGTTGCGCCTCTTTCTCGTGCCGGTAATGCATCTGTCGTGGCGCGATCGCGTGAGACCCGGGGCGTGCGCTTCGCAACCAGGGTTCGTAGATTCGGAAATACGGACGTGATGTTTTTGCAAAGAAAACGTGGCTTTGAGCTGATGCTTCAGCATCTGCTGCTTGCGAAGGACATGATCCTCTCCTGCGGCGACGAAAGACGAGACCGTTTAGGTCAAAAAAAGAATTAACATCGAAAAATCAAGAAAATCTCTTAATCCCGTCAACGAGAGCATGGGCATGAGGCTCGAAGACAAACCCAGGCGCGCAATTGCATTGTGACGGTCGGTGAGCAGGGCATGTTCGACGGCCATGAGCTCCAGACGGCGCGCAAGCCAGGCAGCCCGTTGCTGCTGAGCCTGAAGCTTGCTATCGTTGCTTGCCTCCGTTTGCTGCCATACGCGCAAAGTCCCGGGTGCACATCTTTTGAGTTGGGACCCATCCGCATATGCGAGTGCGGCGGGATAGCAAAGAGACACGAAGCGATGGAGACATGCAGGCCAAACACACCTGTTGCCGCTGAAGATCGGCGAGCTGTGTGCGCTGTTGCTCTTCCACACGGGCCTTGATCTCGGCGGTCCGCGACTTGCGTTCATCCTTGGGTACTGACTTGACCTCGGCCAGAGCAGCCTTGAGGTGACTCTTGTTCTCCGCTTCGAGCTGCTTCAATTGTTTGGCGTGGATGGCTTGAAGGGTCTTTTCCTTCTGTGCCCGAGAAACTCCTTGATCCCGGTCCAGCTTGGTCAGTGCCGTCTTTGTGGACTTTTCACAGTCCTATACATCAACAAGAAGAGTGGGCGCGCGAAGGTGAGCAAGCCGGCCAGCTAGGGGCGGCATGGATCCGTGGAGAAGCCGGCAACAAACAAGAAAGAGGGCAACAGAGAGGGACAGAGATGGAGGGGGAAGAGAGAGGGAGAGAGAAAATGTTGATTGCATACCTGCAAACGGCGTTCAAAGTCACGCTCAAGGTCTTGCAGGTCCTTGGCTTGCGTGGTACGCTGTTAAAGTGCGGGGCACAAGTTTCAGAATTGAGATTTACACGCGTCCCAGTCCTGCTGCGACAGGGGCAGCCTGACTTGTCAAAAACAAGGAGCAACGATCAGAATGAGCGCACCAAAGAATCACGTTCTGCGTTGAGTCGATGAACAAGGTCGTTGCACTCGTGCTGCTCCTCGCGTTGGATGAGACGCAGCTCGCGCAGCTGTTGCTTTCGATACAAGGCCATGCGTTGATTCTCCGCCATTTGCCAGTCCTGGGAGCAAAAGCAGAAAGAAGCGAAAGATACATGATTAAGCATCCAACTTGAGCCAGAGCCGACCCAGGCATCCAACCCAGGCATCGGAGCGAGGCGCATTGGGGCGAGGCATCGGGGCAAGGGATGGGGATGCTCAGCAGGAAATGAATACGAAGCCTTCCGCACCGGGTCGTGTTTGACATCGGCGGCCCGCTGTGCCTTGCGAGTCATAGTGTGACCGGCCTGTAGCTTGGTTTCGACGACGCGCTGAATCTGGTGTGTGACCGTTTGACCTACATGTCACCCATTCGATGGGGCTTGTTAATACCACGCTTACAAAACCATGCACATTGGCCATGCTAGGAGCCAAGCCAGACTCACCCTCTTCGTTGACGTAGGTTCGGGTCTTGGTGAGTGTCTTGAGTCGAGTGCGGTCCTCTGGAACACTCTATAATATCAAAAGGTGCAGCAGAATTGAGAAAAAGGGGAAAGGTTGTGCCGATACAACGGTGAGAGTGGGGAGTGGTTCCTGAGCGCACCAAGGCCTTGCTGCTGCTGCTCTGTGTGCTTGCGGGCGACGGGGCTCGAGCGTCTTCGCTATCGGCTGCCACAGCGATGGAGGGCAGAGGCGCGGCGCCGTTGGCGGCGGGTGCAGCGGCAGGAGTGGCGGAAGATCCAAAGCCAAAGTCTTCGTCTTCCATATTGTCAGCGGGGGCTTGCAAGGATTCGCGAGCCTGGGCTGCCAGATTTTCAAAACCTGAATGGGTAGAGCGGGACAACGCGAGAAGGAGGCAGTGAGTACAAGTCGATGCAGGTTTGACCGACCCACCAACATGCAGAGGGTGATTACGGATTACAGCTTTCAGTGGCGCCGTGCGTACCTTTGACGGCCTGTGCAGCTATTTCCGCCTTTTGCTCGTCCTGTAGCTCCTCGATGGTTTCCACGACTAAGCGCAGGTATTGGGGGCGATTGAGGGTGAGTGAAATGAGCAGGATGAAAGGTAGGAAGCGATGTTCAAAAAACACTGCATCCACGTACTGTCGGCTTTGACCAGGCGGAGCAGATCACGACAAGGTTTGAGACCAGCCGTGTTTTTGACAAAGTCATGATTGAGGAGTTGTTCCGCTGTAAGGCGATCGCGAGGGTCCTTTTGAAGACATTTGCTCAGGAAGTCATTGAAAGCCGCGCTCCTACAAAGGAGAAATGAGTTCATGCGGCTGAGCACGGGCGCTGCCTCGTCAAGCGAGGTGTCATTGCGGAGCGTTGCGACATGCTGTGGTGCGGGCATACCAGCGATGGGGTTCTTTGAGGGTTGGGGCCGGGGCCTTTGGGATTTTGAAGAGGACACGCATGGGGTGCAAATCTTGGTAGGGGGGTGCAGTCTCGGCAAGCTCGATGAGTGTGATGCCGAGGGACCAAATGTCGGAGCTTGTGCCATAGGGACGGTCGCGAACGTTTTCGCAAATGACGACCTGCAAGTCGGGGAGAGAAAGTTTGGGACGGTGAGGGGCCAGGCAGGCAGAGGTCGGCCGGGTAGAAGAACTCGGGGGTGTGTGTGTGTGTGTGT